TCTCTCTCTCTCTCTCTCTCTCTCTCTCTCTCTCTCTCTCTCTCTCTCTCTCTCTCTCTCTCTCTCTCTCTCTCTCTCTCTCTCATTCAGTGGACAGTTAGTTAGTATTATTTGTTGAGATTTTATTTAAGAACGTTTATTAACACTAGATTTACGGAGCACAAAAAACAGCTGTTTCATATTAGCTTATAAAAGTAACAATAAGACATTTATTCTGACTTTTAACAAGTGTTATTGTAACATTTGCCGTAACATATGAATTGAATAAATAACTCATAAATGTATCTTTACGATATGAATAATCGTAAATATTAAAAAATTAGTGACCCGTCATTTTGACGAGTTCCGTAAATCTAGTGTTAAGGAAATTAATGCAAGTTTAACAACGATAACTCCGAACAAACATATGACATAACAGAGACACAAAATCAATTATAACAAAAACGAGATTATCCTGTGTTCTTTCTTTATATTCGTGCAGAAAACACTTGGATAAATCGTTTCAATCGATTCTAACATTATTTTTCCTTTACAACGAACGATTACGGTTCGATTGCCCGATATAGACGATGATTTTAGTCTCAGACATGCTCAATCGAATATTGAAGAAGGTAGTATTGCTTTTGGTGAATTCATGTGATCGAAGTAACCAACATTGCAGTCCATGTAATATTCACAATGCATTCCAAGACCTTTTACCCAGTGTTCAAAATATTGTTTCTTCTTTCATGGAATAACTTGAACGTACTGTAGACAATAATAATAACTATAATACTAATAATAATGTACTAATAAATACTAATAATATACTAATAAATTCTAATAATATACTCTAATAAATAATGATAAATATATAAATAATAATAATAATAATAATAACTCTACTGTACATTTTCTGGTTTCTAACTTTCAAGATCATCTGCGTACAGCGTTTACGAATTAAAATCATTCGATGACTTGGTCTCGCAAAAGACGCAGTGAAAAATCGTAAGCGATGATAAAAACTGATGATAAAAGGACTAAAAATGTCAGAGCAACGTTTACTTCTCGAAATTACGTCGCGCGAACATAAATGAAAAATATCTAAACGCTGCAATTTTATAACTGAACTGTGGATCTCTATGTAAAATAAAAATTGTTCGCATCAAATTCGATTTCCCTTTTAATAATTTTGGTAATTTGACGATGTTTATAACAATCCTGTGCGCTTTATACAGCAATCTTTCCAAACACATTTTCGAAGATATTTCTCGCAGACTTATCACCCTTTCTCTTATTTATTGAGTAATTAAGTGAACGATTTAATTGCCACGAGTCAAAATCGATCCGATCACCGCGTTACGAGGGTTAATATTCTCAAATTCGTTTAACCTGTCTATTGCTTCAAATCGCATCTACTCGTTTTCGCCAAAAAATGCATAAAATCAGCGATCGAATTATAAACGGATCGCGAAAAACCGCAATTTATTGTCGGATACCCGAACAGTCACGAATCGAGCAACGTATATCTACGTCAGAAGGTACAGTTCTGACGTGCAGGTTGCATCTAGTTTCTCCGGATTAGGCCGGGCGTGGCATAATGTTGCCAGGGATTTGCTAAGCAGAAGCTCTCACTCGATGATGAAGTGCGATGCGGTTCCGAAACAGGTTGAAATTGCTCTCGGAGCTGAAAATACAAATTCGCTCCCGATGTTTTCGCGAATAATTGCGCGTGTCCGACGATGCTTGGCCTTTCTGGAGAATCTTTCGGTAAACGTGAACCGCGTATCGCAAAAATTCCCCGCGGCCAAGAGGAATCGTGCTTTCCGGGCGCTTCAGCGGTACGTATTCGGTTCTTCGTGCTCCTAACATTCGCGGGGTTTATGCGAGAGGCTTGAATTCGCATCTTAAGGCTCGTAGAATCACAAAAGCCAACAGTCGGACGTTCTACTTCACATACTTTGAACAGAACAGGCTTGTACTCTCTCAATGGGAGCAGAAACTTTTCGCTTATACTCCCAGATGAACATACACGATACTTGGGATACAAGCGGCTCAGATAAAACTTGACGGTATGCGGCGGCGGGGCTCTAGAAAAATCGGTCCTTTAAGATGGAAAATGGAAATCTCGCTGGATTCTGTTCCGGAATCGTTTACAATACGATCTTTCAGGCGCGTTGCTTAACAGAATTCCGCAGCGTTGTTATAGTCCGTGGAGACTCGTCGTATTAATTTAAGGATTTGCGATTATCTCATTTTTTTTACTTTTTTTTTACTTACTTTAACTCTGTATTTTTTTCAATTTTATAAGTAATGGGTAATTTCCCGAATTCATATATTCAATAACTAAATAAATAAATAATATTATTAACGCTGGAACCACCGAGTTCTAAACAATACTAATAAATATTCTTTTAGAATAACGACAAAATTGGATTTATTTAAAGTTCTATTTCTATTACAATAAATGCTTGACTAAAAAAAATCAGAAACCTTCGATGAAAATATTTCGACTTTGTTTAGTAGTACCAGTGTTAATAAACGCACACGTTTGCGATTTATTAAAAGCTCCACCTCTGTCGGTTTTATATCAGCAGATTAAAAATCTCCGACGATTTCGAATTATAATTATAATGATATATATCGATATTATATATTATAATGATATTAATATATATTATAATATTAACCCTTTGCACTCGAAGCCATTTCAACCATAAATCTAACATAATTTTTCTGACTTATGGTATTTCTATTTTATATAACAAAGTGCATTTTAATGAAATCGAGTCTTGCGATGACTTGTGATGACAGTTACACCTTTAACGATTTTTTAAATTTAAACTTCGTTAATATAAAAATTACCTTGGAACGTGAACTAACAATTTCAGTGGTGCCTCAGAGTCATCACTCGAGTGCAAAGGGTTAATATATTATTATATTATAATTTATTACTATTATATCATAATACATATTATTACAATATAATATTAATATATATTGTAATAACTGAATATTATTCGCGTCTTTGAAGTGGAAACGTTAAGGCACAGGTGAAAATTTGTCGAGAACGTGACCATGATACTAACCCGCCCGGTTGATAAATTGATCGCGGCCCATTAAGGTCTCGTTCGTTTTTTCCCTTTCAGAAATACGTGGTGGGCCCGTTCGATCACAAGAGGTACGCGTACGATCGCTATATGCCGTTAATTTTCATCGGCGGCGTGCCACGCTCCGGCACTACCCTCGTGCGCGCCATGCTCGATGCACATCCCGATGTCAGGTGAGTCCCCCATTCACCGGACAAATTGCCAATTAACGCCTGATACGATTGACGCCGAGTGCTCTTGATCAATGCCCGCGTCAAAGACCGGCCGACAAATAGCCGGATATGCTGACTCTCGCGGATCGTTTTTCTGTGACAGGTGCGGCCAAGAGACCAGGGTGATACCGAGGATCCTGCAGATGAGGATGCACTGGCTGAAATCGGAGAGGGAGAACCTGCGGCTGTCGGAGGCAGGAATCTCGAAAGAGGCAAGTGTCCTTCGGAACCAAACGAGACCGACGCTCTCCTGCGAAATTCCTTGGTGCCGTCGAAATTATTCCGACTCGGATTTGTTTCGGACGTTAAAACACAAATTCCGCTATCGCTCAACACCCGCGCTACGATTTTGTGCCGTGTTTTCACTGTCCATTGGATTCGTCTTGATCTTAGCTATCAGGATACAACGATAGAAATATGTAATTCTATTTAACAAAACATCGATGACCTTGAAATCTCGAAAAATATGTTCTTTGAGAAAAAACGATTTCCACCATGACATGCGCTCCTTTGAACCAAACAATTTGTTCATTAAGCATTTTCGCGTATCATTAACGATAACGGAGATATCGCTTTGTAACAGAGTGACTGAGACACTATGTATATTTAGGGTGTCCCAAAATTATGGTACTTCTGGGAAATGAGGGATCCCTGAGGTTATTCGAAGCAAATTTTTCCTTAGCACAAATGCAATCCGCGGCTTCGTTTATGAGTTATTAACGAAAAACACTGACCAATGAGGGGCGAGCTCGCCTGGCGGTAGGCGGAACTGGAGCCAATCAGCGGAACTGGACTTCCTCCGCTCGTTGGCTCGACCGCTTCGCGTCAGCCGAGCTCGCCTCTCATTGGTCAGTGTTTTTCGTGAATAACTCGTTAACGATGCCTCGGAGAAAATTTTTGTAAAGGAAAAAGTTGCTTCGAATGACCTCAGGAATCTATAATTTCCTGGAAGTGCCATATAATCCATTTATAATTCACGTATGATTTACATACACATGTACAGCAATATGCCCGATAAAAGGATTATTTTGATATAACAATTTATACGATTCTCAATCATTATTACTATCATTGTGATAATATATTTTTATTAATATAAATTTATTCCTTAAAATTCCAAATTTTTGCTCAACTTTGAAGAGTTTGACTCGTGATGGAAATTTCCGATATCAATGATATCTGTTCTTTCGAGTTATCTAACACCATCGCAATGACTAAACAAGAAAACCGTGGAAACAGTTCATTGCACATTGCGTGAATTCATTGCTTTTCTTGTTCGAAAGCATCGAACAGCGTCGCATCGCGCGGCGTCCAGCTGAGAAACGTCTCGTTGTCAGCGTTGAATGGCGGTTGGTGCCATACCGGCGGGCAACGAGCCGAGATACGTGTCTATTAATTACGAAATAATCATTTGCCCAGGTGATGGACAGCGCGATAGCGGCATTCTGTCTGGAGATCATAGCGCGACACGCGGAGCCAGCGCCGCGATTGTGCAACAAGGATCCCCTCACTCTGAAGATGGGCTCGTACATCCTCGATCTCTTTCCAAATGCCAAGTTTATCTTCATGATCCGCGATGGCCGTGCCACCGTGCATTCCATTATCTCGAGAAAGGTAGGACCTAAGATCGAAGCGCGCTCGGCCGTCGCGGGCTCGTTTATGCAGATCTGTCCCACTCGATTCGCGAATTTTAACCTTTTAGGTACGGCTGAATTCTGCGCGAGGCTATTTCTCTGGACGGCAGAGTCTGATATGTACTGTACAGTGTCTGATACTGTGTATATACTAATAATCGTCTGTAATAATCGATATTCTATAATAATCGTCTATAATAATCGATATTCTATAATAATCGTCTTCATATGCATTGTTTCACACTTCTTTCGTCTTCACATCAATTTACAACAATCTACAGGATGTCCCAAAAATGTCTCGCAATCCGAAAGTGGCGGGTTCCTCGGGCCATTTGAAGCAACTTTTTCCTTTACAAAAATTTTCTCCGGGGCACCGTTAACGAGTTATTAACGAAAAACAGTGACCAATGAGAGGCGAGCTCAGCTGGCGCGAGGCGATCGAGCCAATGAGCGGAACTGGGCTTCGCGCGCTGGTTGGCTGGGCCGCCTCGCGTCAGCCGTACTCGATTCTTATTGGTCACTGTTTTTCGTTAATAACTCGTTAACGGTGCCTCGGAGAAAATTTTTGTAAAGGAAGAAGTTGCTTCAAATGATCCGAGGAACCCGCCATTTCCGGATTGCGAGACATTTTTGGGACATCCTGTAGACTGTTGTAAATCGATGTGAAGACGAAAGAAGTGTGAAACAATGCATATGAAGACGATTATTTGATTCAAACGATGAGCGAGTGAGCTACTAGAGCAAGCCACTATAGTGGCGCGCCGTCCAGAGAGATGACGTCCGCGAAAGCCACTATAGTGGCGTGTCGTTCTAAAAGTTGATATCCGCGGAAGCCACTATAGTGGCGCATCGCGCCTAAAAAATTAAAGCGCCGCGCGCGGCGCCGGGAAATAGGGGACGAAAGGAGGAGCCGGGAGGACTTCATCGGCCAGGAATTCACGGCGATAGATTCCGAACGAGATCCGAAGAACTAGTCGAAATCTTCCGCTCAGTTTTCGTAAAACGAACTGGAGATCGGTTTCGCGAGGTCTTGCTGGGACAGTGTGCTTCGACGAGGCCGTCTTAAAGATCTACAGTGGCTCTACAGTTCTTCTTTGATACTAAACCTATCCGAGCAGTCAAAATGACCGGTTTCTTAGTTTGAAATCCTGCAAACTTTGAAGACTCTTTCGTGGAAGATGCTTGAATAAAGTACAGTATTGGAGCAAGTTTGGTAATAAAATCTTTACAAAATTTATTTAAAGCTATCATTACTGCTTGGTAGATTTACTGTGAAATTCCAATTAGCCGCAGTGCCAAATCAAAGTAAAAAATTCATTTTTTTTTAATCTGAGGCTAGCAAATTTAAAGGTGATTTGGTGATTTGGATGCGCATTGAATATTTCGTCGATGGAGTTTGTTACGAGTAGACTGCAGATTTTGTTTGTTTATGGTAGATCGCATCGGTAAATCGCATGGAAAATAGCAGAAACATGTGAACACCACGAAAATATTATCGGATTGCTGTCAACTGATTAAAATTACTAAGAAAAAACATTATTAAAAAGATAGTCCCCACTTCTTGCAATTGACGAGGACAATGTTCATTTCGCATAAAAATCCGCAGTCTACTTATAAGCTACAAACAATTAAGGGTTGCGAAAATCGCAAATATGTAAGATAACTATAAACAATCTGGAGATTTTTAAGCTCGGCTAAAAAGCTTGGAAGATCCAATTTTCATATTTTTGTCACCCCAACCAATTGCAATCTAAAAAAATAGATTCACGACCCTGTAAACTAGTTTCTCTACTATATATTGGGTTGGCAACTAAATAATTGCCGATTTGTTCAGTGAAATAAAAAATTTTTTTTTACTTGGAACGAAGTTTAATCTGTAATGTATTTTCCATTTTGTTCGATGACCTTTTGCCATCTCTCTGACAACTTGAAAATTCCACGCTCGTAGAAAGTCTGATCCTTTTCGGCCAAAAACTGAGTTAAGTGAGATTTTACAGCGTCGTCGTCGTTAAAAGTTTTACCACGAAGGGAGTTGTCCAGGGATCGAAATAAGTGGTAATCCGATGGCGCGAGATCAGGGCTATACGGTGGGTGTAACATCAATTCCCAAGCAATATCCATCAATTTTTGCCGAGTGGACAAAGACGTGCGCGGCCTAGCATTGT